GCCAAAATGTATCTCTGTGGGACCAATCACAGCATCTAAAAAACAGTTGATCAGAAAATCAGGAAGTAGTTTTTCTATCATTGCAGGAATATTATTTTTCTAAGTAAAAATAACCGGAATATTATGGTCAATGCTGATTACAACCAAATTATTCTTTTGCTTTCATTGAACAGGATTCTTAGCATCATCTTTTAAAAATGTTATTTTTATACCACCTGAAAGTAATATACTCAGCACTATGGTTACATCAGACAAATCGTGGCTCAGGGCAATATCACAAACACCTGTGTGTAAGATAGGAAAAAATTGTATTTTCCAAATACAAACTGATGAAATATTCATACTGTATTAACATTAAGCCCAATGCTAAGAAGAATGAAGAGAAATTTACACCAAAAGATATTTTGGAAAAGGGGTTATCTTCTACACCATCAAGAGAAAATATCATGCACCGATTTTCATCAACAAAAGTAGTTGCCTTCTGGGGGAAAAAAAATAGAATCATAAAAACAAATCACATATATGAATGGATGGTATAATAAGTATTTGGTATCTTACCAATTCAGCTATAAATGTCTGATTAACTATTGACTGAGCTTAAAAAATGTAAACAGTGCTAGCAATGAGTTCAGGTCATAGTGCACGAGGGACTCTTAGATGTGCTCTTTCATTAGTGATTAGCTCCCCACTGACATGTGCTTTGCTATTCCTGAAGAGGTTGGTATGTGGTGACACATAGGGAAGAAAGTGAAAGCTTCTTTGGAAAACAGGGGAACAACCCCAAGATATGTCGTAATAAACTGATTTTACAATGTAAGATCCCAGGATCCCAACTGGATTCACAAATAGTAAAGCCTGACTAATCGATGTCAGTGCTTAACTACCAAATATACATGCCAAGGAAAACGGAGGGTCTCATAGACCATCTAACTGTAATGGACCATTTAAACTAATCTCACTGAATTTCACTGTTTGACTCTGAATTCCTTGTATAAGCACTAAGTAAACCAGTCAGTTTTAATCACTTCAAGGTGATAAAGGTTACAGTAAGCTGATACACTACAAACGACACTCGTTTACATCTTGCATGTAATGAAATGATAGTTTATCTACAGTGAACACTTGTGGTTATCTGACAAAAGCAGGTCAAAGGTTCCAGGCGTTTTCTCCTGAAATTACTCAGTGCAGCCTCAAATGACTGATAATTGAAAGCAGAGGCTGGAAATATCAAATGTGGTAGGTGACAGATAAGCAACAGATTAATGCAAGTGCTCTGTTACAGGACACTTAAAGGTCAGAGGCCCTAGGAATTAGCTATTGTGCTACTGTGAAAGGACAGACATCAAATAGCTGTTTACCTCATTCTTGCTCTTCTCTCCAGCATTCAAATTCTAGAAACGCATTCTCTCTATTACGATTAGATTATTTAAATTGACTCACTTTTTACAAAATAAGGCAAGAAATATTTTATAGGGCATGTGGATAAGAGAAAAGATATAATACTAGAGAAGAATGAACGTTTAAAAAAAAAAAGTCACTATGCTAGGTGTAAATACTTTAATGAAGTGCATCAGGGAGAAGTTAAGAAACACATTCATCAGAGCATCATTCTCAGATGGGGAGACCAGATAACACACTTAAAAATATATATATATGTATTCTAAAGCTTTCT